GAACCTTACCTAACATTATATAGCCCATCGATTAATGGGAAGGGATGGAATACTCGAGATGAATCAAAACCCTCACCTATAAATTAACAAATTTAATGCACACAAATTATAAACCACAAAGGGTCGGTTTTTAACAACATAACCAACTTTAATTAAAAAATTTTTATACTTGTTCAATCAAAAATTAAATAAGGGAGAATCTCCCTAAAAAAAAAAACCTAGGACAAAAAAAAAACCCAAACACCACAAAGTTTTTATTTTTTTAAAGATGCGTACCACCCTTACCGTTTGTGTTTTTTATTTTTTTTATCCATATCGCTTTTTCCTTATTTCACTTAACAGAGTTATCATGTCAAATTTAACGTACAAGAAAGCAGTAAAGAAGAAAGAGAAGAAAAGAGAGAAGAAACTTGCAGGAAAGATAGCTTTTTCTCGTGATTTTTAATTCCATTTATAAACCACCCTAAAATTTAACAAAACAAGCTGTTAGGTAAAGTAGGAAAAAAAGACCTACGATAGTTCACAATCATCCCATTCAACCTACCAGCTAAGTAGATTGAGGGCTGTTTTCATGTCGTCTGTGAGCAGCAGCTTCTTCATCATCATGGCACCTGAATCTTACCACACCAAAATAAATAGAAGGCCACTAAAGTGACATATTCCTAGAAATAATTACGAAAAAAAAAAAAAGGAACTATATTAATGGAACATACCCAGAATAGACTGCATCATTTCATTAGGATTCCACAAAACCAGCACCACAATGCAATAAGCAGAAAGAAATCAATTAAATTGCTTATAACAGATATGTTTATGAAGGAAAATATATATATGTATATACATAATATGAGGAGAGAAGTGATATTGAACCTTGTCTTCCTTTCTTGTTTTGTGATTCATTCCAGCAATTCTTGTCCCACAAATGAGCTTCATACCTTCCTGTCCATGATGCCTTGAGCAATCACAATAACAGTAGCCATTTAAGTAAAGCAAAAGAAGACCATTAATGGGACTGAAACTACAGTATTAAATTTGAACCAAATAGGAAATCAATTTCTAGTAATTACCAAAATAACCAGGGGGGAAAGAAGCTGGTTATCCTTGAAGGAAGACACATGCATAAATTTGCTATCCTTATTCTTCAATCTCAGAATAAATTTCGTAATCATCCATCTGGAAAAACTACCAATTGGAAAAAAAAACAAACAACCAAACAAACAAACAAACACAAAACACAAAAGGAGAGAAAGAGAGAAAGAGATTGAGATTGAGATTGAGATTAAGATTGAGAGGCAGATTGTTTGAGAGAGAGAGAGAGAGAGAGAGAGAGAGAGATGGAGATTGCAAGATACCTGATGTGGTTTCAACTTTGGCAAAAGTAGCGGCCCTGATAGCAGAAGCACGGAGGTGAAGACGATGCAGGTGGCTCACTGGTGTTCACGGTGGCGCAATGGCAACAGTAAAAAGCTGTGGGGTGGAGAAGAAACAGTGCATTACAGAGTAAAGTGACGAAGAGAGAGACACTACAGAGATACTAGTATATGGAAGGGTATGGTTTTTTTTAGATTGATATTAGGGCTCAAGAGTTGGGGTTTTGATTTTTTTTTTATTTAATTTTTTTTGGTGTTTGGCGTGTAAAATTTTTATTTTGGTGTTTTATTTTTTTTTTTTTTTCTTTTTTTTTTCTTTTTCCTTCTGATCGTACCTTTCATGATAGTAATTGCGCGTTGTGAAAAGTATAATATTTTAAACAGTTGGCTTTCTGTGTGTCGTGAAAAGTGAAATTTTTAACGGTTACCCTTTTGTGCGCCGTAAAATGTTCAATATTTTTAAAAGTTAGTGTGCGCGTGTCGTATATAATGGATGTATTAACGGCATGCTATATACACGTCACAGAAAGTTCATTATGTACAGCTAACATTACAAGTTGTAAAAAAATCATCGTTTAATGCATTCACAACCTACGCAATAGACATGCCGTAGTTGGAAAATTATTTACAACATGCAAAAAAAAGAAGTCATAAAAGTGAGAAACTATGACTTGTATTTATTGTATGCCATTGATATAAAACCGTAAAAACCCATTTTTATTGCCACTATATCATTGTTGGACCACCTACTTTAAAAAAATCGCCAAAAAGTGGCAAGTAATGGCTAATGCCAGCAACTGATCGTGGTGGTGATATGAATAAATAGACAAATTAAGTCGACAGATAGGTACATAAGGACAAATAGAGAGATGATACTTAGAAAGATAGGTGGATAGTAGATAAATTGACTGATAGGTAAAGGTAATATAATATTTTTAATTATTATCTTTTTAAAATTATAACTCCCGTCCTCTGGTAAATTACCAACATGTGTTAATATTTGGGCTTAATTTCCATTAAATTATATTAATTCATCGCTAAAAGTCAGTCTTATCATAATGGTCGCTAAAAAAAGACTTTTGTGATGATTTTTGAATTTGTCGTTAAAAATTGACAATTAGTAACATTTTTCTGTGAAAATTTTTTAAACTATCGCTAAAATTTAGAATTAGTGAATTTTTTTGACGAATTTTTTAAATTGTCGCTGAAAACTAACAATTAGTAACGTTTGTTATTAGTATTTGAAGAAAAACGTTGCTAATTATCAAATGACCTATTGGGCAATAAATCAATCTATTGAAACCTACACATAAGTCCTATATAAAAGTGTTTTGAGATATGTAAAAATATATTGAGATTCATTCTCTCACTTGTCTGAAAGAGGAATTCCCACTTCTACATAGGTTGGTAGTTACTAAGGGAGAGTCCTTAAATTCAATGCTGACAAGGAATGAGGTTGTAGGAGAGTGGGTGTTTCAGTTCAAAAAGGAGCTATATGACTGGGAAATGGTGGAGGTTACTAGAATGTTAGCCCTTTTAGAGGCAACTCCTGCAATCAAGTCAGAGACAGAAGATAAACTGGTTTGGACTACCTCAAAAATAGGTATTTTTACAATTTTATTTATGTATAATTTTCTGGCAGCTGGGTTTGGCACACCTCTTTCATCTAGTAAATTGGTATGGGTGAAGTACATTCCCCCCTCTCCCCCCATAGAATCCAATTTTTTGGTTGGCTAGCATGGAAAGGCAGACTAAAGACAGTAGATTTTCTCCTACGAATGGTGTAATGCCCTCAAAATAAAGCAATAATCATCCAACAATAGCATGCTTAAACGTAAGAGAATAACGCATAAATATATTCCATCAGAGTAGTCCTTACAAAATGTATTACATGTTGACATCAAAAGTAAATGCCCTATGGGCTTACAACTTTCCAAGTCAACACTTGGTTACAAAAAGAGAGTACTAACTCTATACAAAGAAAGCCATTGGCTTGATATACATGTAATACAACAAAACAACAAAAGAATCCAACAGCCTCAAGCCTCCTAAGCTACGTCCTTGGAGGTGGCATGCTACTTGTACCTAAAAATAATGTCCCATATAGGGTGAGCCACAGCCCAGTAGAAATATATTAAACCAACTATAAACAATGACCAAAATGATAACATTCGATAGATGGTTCACACTTATACTCCAACTCATGTCATATCACATTTTCCGTTTCTTACTCAACTTTAAGTTTGAAAACAAGGCTCAGAACCTGGCCGAGCACTTTAATGAGGTTACATCCCATTACTAAAATACTTTTGCAATTCATGATGGATACACATTTTGGTGCTGTATCAATAACACATAAAACCACTTCCATACTTCACAAATGGTACACATTTTAGTGTTGTATCCATATAACAAAAACACTTCCATACTTCACATATGATACACATTGTAGTGCTATATCAATGGAAAATAACTTCCGGTTTAGAGGACTATCCCCTATCTTCCCCTAAACCGTGGAGTACATCCCCTATCCCCTCACACACAACATAGTGCATATAAACAATTATCATACACACAATCAATCAATATATAAGGTTAATGTATTATTCCAACCGTCATATTCGATGACACATTCCATTGATTAGTTTTAGTTTGCCTAATCTCAATGCTTTGTCTACAACAATCAAGATTATCCTCCACCGATAGCCCAAAGCAGTTATCTCTAAATAGGAAATAAAGGCATCAAATGGATAACATATTAACATTTGTCTAGGTGAGCGATAAATTAATCCAACTCCACCCTTTAATCCCATACCTTTCCAATTTGAATATTTCCTATTCAATTTCTCATTTCTCAAAATTAATTATATAAATTAATTTATCAACAATTAGGGCTTTTTCCCATAATTACAACACCAACCCTAAGGTTCCATTTTCATCAATAATTCAACACCGAGTCCATTTTCCAATGTATTGCATACATTAAGGTTTATATGTTTGAAACCCCATCTTTTGAAAAATTACACAATGACCCCAAACTTTTCACAAAATTACCCAACGACCCCCAACATATCAAAATGCCAAAATTTAGAGACAAAGCTCATAAGATGGAGTAGGATATCCCTACCTCAAAGTTAGAGCTCAAATGGAGAAGAAGAAATACAAAGTGCTCCAACTCAATAATTTCTCGGATCAAAACGTAGCCATCAACGATCAACACACCTTTGCAAAGACAACAAGGTAGTGGGACACTCTAGCTAGATCAAACCCTAGAGAGAAGGGAGATTCTAGAGAGAGGAGCTCTCAAAATCGATTTTGGGAACGTAAGAGAGAGAGAAGAAGTGTAAAAAGTGATTCAAAAATGCCCAGCTGCCAACTGATATACGTATGACCCGCTCGAGCGGAGAATAGAACGCTCGAGCGTCAAGCACAAAAATCTAGACACGCTCGAGCGCAAGAAGGCCCACTCGAGCTCCAAGACACAAGAATAAAAATCATCCGCTCGAGCGCGAAAACCAGTCCGCTCGAGCGTAGATTTCCCCCTCCCAGAACTTTGACAGACAAAGCACTACCTGCTCGAGCGCCAATATACCCGCTCGAGCGCGACCTGCTCGAGCGTAAAGAAACCCGCTCGAGCGTGAAAAACACACCTACAGAAGTTTTGCAGAGGCACAAAATACTGGGAGTGTGTAAACCTCGCTCGAGCGCAAGAAGGCCCGCTCGAGCGGATAACCAAAAACCAAACTCTGCTCGAGCGCAGAATGACCCGCTCGAGCGTAACATCAAAAACCTGGGCAACTACACTTTAGACCAAAACTCAACCTACCTGTTTGAAATACGCCCAACACATCCTAAAACTCAATCATATGGAATTAAAGGATGATAACAAGGTATACAACCACTAACTCCACAGAACCAAAGTCCGGAGTACAACAAGTATAGAAAGGGAAAACCGGGATCGCTATAACCTTCCCCTCTTAAAAAATTTCGTCCCCCAAATTAAATACCAGTTTTTCAAAAAAAACAAGATCTTCTCGATTCCCAACATTATTACAATGCGAAATTTAACAACCCGACCCATTACCGGTCATCTCATCTCTTTTCAAGAGGCAATTTACAACATTTTCCACAACATGTATTATAGTTATGCATTCCTTGAAATTTCACAAATTTCAATACCACATTCCACAATTCTATATCATATTCAATATTCATGATATATTTCCATTTCTACAATACATTCAACATATACAATGTTACATTAAACTTCCATTTTAAGGCAAGTTCCAAAACATAATTCCATAAACCAAAACATATACCATGTTTTACAACTTAAGACATATATAATGCTCTTAAAGTTCAACAATATTACAAAATCTCAATACATGATTATACATCAACAAACAAGTCCGGATAATTCTCACGGACATCTGCCTCACGTTCCGAAGTGGCTTCCTCCACTCGGTGATGTTTCCACAAAACCTTTACCAAAGGAATGGTCTTGCCTCGTAAGACTTGATCCCGCCTATCCAAGACTCGAACCGGTCTCTCCTCATACGAGGCATCCTTATCTACCTCTAAGTCGGTCCAATCCAACACGTGTGAGGGATCTGGCTCGTACTTCCGAAGCATACTAATGTGAAATACATCATGAACCCCAGACAACTGCGGTGATAAAGCCAAACAGTAAGCAACCTCCCCAATCCTCTCAAGGATCTCAAAGGGACCAATAAACCGAGGGGATAACTTCCCACTCTTCCCAAACCTCATCAGACCTCGCCTAGGTGATATTTTTAGAAAAACATGATCACTAGTCTCAAAAGCCAAAGGCCTCCTCCTACGGTCGGCATAACTCTTTTGGCGACTCTTGGCTGTAACAAGCCTCCTACAGGTAAGCTCAACTTTCTCCGTCGTTTCCCTCACCAACTCCGGGCCCAACAAAGGTGCATCACCCACCTCGGCCCAACAAACTGGAGACCTACACGGTCAGCCATACAAGGCCTCAAACGGTGCCATACCGATACTCGACTAAAAGCTGTTGTTGTAGGCAAACTCCACCAAGGGCAAGTGCTTCTCCCACGTCCCACTAAAGTCAAGAACACAACCTTGAAGCATATCCTCAAAGATCTGAATAGTACGCTCGGACTGCTCGT